TGACCGATTACAGAAGAAGGTAACAGTCTAAAAAATTAATTTTTTGAACCACAGATATCCTAAATTGAACCATTGATTTATTTTCCATTATTTTAGATAAGAACCTCTTGTTATATAATAAATAAATAAATATATAATAAATAATGTAATGAAAAATAAGTATAAAGTGATACAAATAATTACGAAAAAAATAACTCTGAGAAGCATTTTGCAACATACTAGGAAATATTTATATGTGTTTGGCAAAATAATAATAATACTTCAATAGTGAACTTTTATTTTAAGTGTTATTATAACAATGTCCCGAGTAATATTATTAAGGAAAAGCATTTAGGAATATTTAATATACAACTGTCCGAAAGTTTTATTGTTAGTCCCGTTAGATTTGTATTTGGATTACAATTCGTATCATGACAATGAATCCTAATGGAATATATTATATGCACGTGCACATGCATCACCGCATTCATTATGCAGGAAATGTGGTAACATTAAAGTTTTTTGACTGAAACTTTTTTATCGTTTGAAGAGCTGAGAATCATAGAATCATAGTGATGTAAGTCACTCTTACAATGTTTTTCATAAATTTATTATTTATGAATTTTTATAAATTACGAATTAAAATTAAATGAAATAAAAATAATTAAACAAAAATGGATTATTATAAATTATTACTATATAGTTATAAATTTATTATTTAGTTGTGTTAAAGTGAAATACTTCGTTGTCATTTCTCAGTAATGAATGAAGTTATATGAACAATAGCCATGAAACTAAACATACAGAACCTTTAACACATAAAAAACGTTATTAATTCAAATTTTAAAAATTCTTGCACCGCTATAACTCTCAACACTTCATTTCTTATCAATTGATTAAATGTAAATGAGATATATAAAATGAGAAGTCTCGTCTTGAAACAGTTAATAACATAAGAACATTTTTCTTCGCCACTCTTTTAGAATTCTTTCAAGTTTGCGAGAGACATAAAATTACGTAATACCTCTTTATTCCTTAAGAATTGCAAAAAGTATTTATAATTTCGATTAAGCTGGTAGTAGAAATCGATTCATCGTCATCGATTCTCTAACTGTCATTTCATAAAATTGATAAAATTATGACAAAGTAGCTATCGTTAATGTTCATTAGGAGCATAGGCAATTATGATATTCGAAACATTAATTAACTTCACTTCATGATGCACTTTGAACGAAATATCTCATTTCGTATTCATTTTAACGAAACATCGTTACTTTGAATTATTTCACGTACTAGAAAAAAGAAAACCATTTTCTATATTTAACATTGCGAATTCCTTTCGTACTCACAGACATGAAGAGAGAGATATCTCTATCTTTTGAAGAGATATCTCGTGTTGTATTCAAATGACAGAAATATCTCGTTCGAAGCATTATGTGAACGATATTATATTACAAAACGTATTGTAAATTTAAGGTGAATATTATTTTTTGTTATTATTTATTATTATTATTTATTATTATTTATTATTATTATATATTATTATTTATTATTATTATATATTATTATTTATTATTATTATATGTTATTTATTAACTCTTTGCCGATATTAAAAATCAGAAAATGGGAGTCCAATTTTTTCCTAAATTTAATATTGCAATCAGTACAATTATACTTGTAATATTGTTGTAAATTTTATCGAACAGAGTTTACTTTTATCTACAACAAAGTTTAATTTCATTCTTTTTTTATGTAACACTTCTATATAAAGTCACGTCGCCAGTTGATTTATTTATAAAAATGTAAATGAGTAAGATTAGCACAAACATTCTAGGCACTATGAATAACATCCTTTTCTGGATGTATGATAAAGCAAAATGTTGCACTATCGAAAAATAAAAACAAAAGATACAAATGAGAAGGAGAAAAGAAAAAGAAATAACAATTATTTATTCTACACACCAGCTGCACACTCGTTACTCTGTGTTTTCTGCTTCCACTCGTATTTTACGATTTTCTTTTTCACGCTAGTCGTTCTTATACTTGCAGCAGCTTTTCCTTTCTCACGTCTATTAATTAAAGATTATTCGTCAACGCTAAGCAACTAGAACTGAACATTATACTGCGTCGTATAAGCTAAGTGCATGTCGTTATAATTAATAATGAATATTGACTAAACTAAAGGGCTTTATTTTATTTGAAATCAAATAAAGTAAACATTTTCTAAAAGTGTAAAAATTTCAATCTTCAAAAGGATAGTAGATTTAATCATGAAAAAATTTTTCTGACATTTTTGCACGCTTATCCATAATGTAAAATTATCTTACGTCTGTAAAAGTAGAACCTTGACGATTTTAAATTAGATCAAATGGATCTTTATATGAGCTTTTTTCTTTATGAAATTATATCAGTTTAAATTTTGTTTAGGCTTAGTTTTCCATTGTCATTGGTTATGCTATTCATTATATATATACATATATATATCTTATATCAATAGATACCTATAGATATCTATTGGATAAAATTTTAAATTTTTTATTTTATTATTATTTAATAAAAATTGATATAAATGATATAATTACTCCTTCTAATTTATTAGGAATTGATCGTAAAATAGAGCAAGCAAAAAGGAAATATCATTCCGGTTTAATATGTGAGAGAGTAATTATTGGGTTTACTATTTTAAAATTATCTGGTTCTCCTGATAAATAAGGATTTTGTAGATTAATGTGTATAAATATTAATAAAATAAAAATAATTGTAATTATATCTTTGATTATAAAATATGGATGAAAAATAATTTTATAAATATTATTTTTTATTAATATAGGTATCAATAGATACCTATTCACTATCTATCTATCTATATATATATATATATATATATGTTTATATACCTTGATCATAAAGTTACAAAGTGTAAATACAATCCTTTGTCTCATTGTCACTAGTTTCTAACATTAAACACACATCAGTCCATCTAATCTCACACCTATTCATAAATATTGTACCTATCCACAAATCTATGACCATGCTCGTGTCTTTAGCCCTCGTTTCTGCTCTTTTGATCGTAAGATTAGTTAATGTTAACACAAGTTTTATCGATATCAGTACACCAATATAAGCCTTCAGCTGATAATGAATAGCATCAGTTTCGATTGGCAACAACGTTAATAGACAATGATATTAATTGATTGTGAATCGTTCTAACTCGTATACCTTCAATTATAATGCTCGTTTGATGATAAGATCTGTTGTGATAATGCTTAAATAAATTTACAGTCTATTACAATACATACATATATATGTGTATACCATAGAAACACATGTGCTTTTGAAATTCGTACCAGAATGACTTGCCACGGTATTTGGGAATTCCGTTTAAAATATTGATAGAGCATGGCTTTACACTGGGATGGCGTAATTGAACAACGTGCATGCTACAAATTACTAGTGCAATGAATCGTATTGTCGGGATCCACGATATATTTCCACAGCCGGTTGTATTGTGATAATTGCGTCGAAAAATATTCCCCCGTTTATCTGGAAAACGATATTTACTTACGAAAATGTTAGTTTCCAGATTATAAATAATAAATATAATTTATAAATATATAAGAGAATATAATTTAAGAATATAACTTATAAATATATAGATATAAAAATTTATAAGAATATAATTTATAAATATATAAATATATAAATTTATAAGAATATAATTTATAAATATATAAATAATTTCATTCTGATATATGTGTCTATATATATACGGTGTAACAAAAAAATATTTTTGTACATTTAAATATTTATTTAGTTATTTTGTACAATTAAAATTTAAATAATTTATTTTGTACAACTAAAATTTAAATAATTTATTTTGTACAATTAAAATTTAAATAATTTATTTTGTACAATCAAAATAACATTTCTCTCTCGTTTTTTTTTAAATTCATTTAATTTATTACTTAAAAGTTTTACAAGTTATGACAAAAGAAGCGTTTAATGTTACATATTTGTATCTTCAGTATTATTATTCGCAATCAATTCAATATTGATTCTACAATCTTCGTCGTAACACTAGAACAAACATTTGATCATTCTTCTAATAATGCTTTCACAAAATAAAAATATAAAGTTTAATATAATATAACAGATGTAAAATTGTATATAATTGTTCTTCCTTTCTTGTTCTACAAGTTTAAATTATGCATTGTAAGATGATCGTACTACATTTCATTGTATTATAAATAGATTGCATGTTACAAATTTTAACACAAACATATTTAATTTGACATATAAATTTGCATATTTAAATACTTTTTCATGAAAAATTCTGTACGTATTATTTAAGTATTCGTACAAAGTGCAGAGACGCACCCCAAGTCTCAGCGAAGAAAAATATTATATTATTTATTTTCTTCTCAAGTAAAACGTGACTGCGTTGAATCTATTGTTCGGATGTTCTTGCCACATTCAAACGAAAACATTATTTTTCTAGATCTAGAAAGTTAGGAGAATTTACGACACATGCGTCGACGAAGAGTATTGAGAATTTCTGTTCTTTCAGTGCGTAGAACTGCACTTGAGAGAGTACCAATTAAGGCAAAGTCGTCAACGAAATTGTTTCCGCGCTCTTAAGAAACACCGAGAACACCAACACGCGCTCTACTTTGCATATTAGTCTTATCATTTCATCATTTTTACCATTACCGTTTTAAACGAAGATTGCAAACGTAAGTACAAGCCGTGCAAAAAGTTAATGAATCGAAATATCTGTGCCTAAAAATTACAAATCTTTTTGTAACTGACAATATTAAAGAAAAATATGGATGTATCGCATTTCAGTTCCGTGTTCAATATCAGTGTGATTTTTCAACAATGGTTTTAGAATTAATTTTAAATAATAATAAAATATATAATATTATATATTATTAATATTTTATTATATAATATTTTAAATAAAAATAAAATGTAAATTTCCAGAGAATTTTAATTAATCAGAGGTTTTTATGTATTTTCAGCACACCGACGAATGCGCACGGTTACCAATTACTTTTTAGTCAACCTATCCATGGCTGACTTGATGATGTCATTACTTAATTGCGTTTTCAACTTCATTTTTCTACTGAATTCTAACTGGCCGTTTGGAGTGGTGTACTGCACTATCAATAACTTCGTGGCGCATGTAACGGTCGCTTCAAGCGTTCTCACCCTTGTCTTCATTTCTTTCGACAGGTGAGTTTTCATTAATTGACAGTATTTTCGATAATTGTACGATCTGTTTCAATTTAACTGCGAAATGTGCTGTACTGTGTATTTATATTTAAATTTTACTATTTTACTATTTTACTATTTTACTATTTTATTATTTTTTACTATTTTTTACTATAGAAAGTAGCGTAATTTTCATAGCAGAGATAAAAAGATTTTAATATTTAAAATAGTCTAGTACTTTGCACTGTTAGAACAAGAACTTGGTGATTGGATGAATTAAATTTCTCCTCAGGTAAGACAGAGAATTATGATTGGTTGGTTTTACGCTAATCCTTGGAAAAGGAATGGAATCGATAGATGCTTGGAAGCATAAGTAGGTGAAAGCTAGCAATGAATTATATTTAAATATTTAAAAAGTGGAGAAATTTTTAGTAAATATTAGATTCTCACCTTGCTATATGTTGCAAAATAATATAATATTTTACAAGAGGAGTATCTCGGATAAAGGATCTTGAAAAATTGTCAATTTTGTAGAAAAAAATATTTTTAATATATTAATGTCAAAATTAAACTCTATCCATGGAATGTGGCTTTTTAAACCACTGTGTGATGATAAAATTTGTTCTTACAGAATGAGAGCAAATGCGTTCGACCTTGACTATAGTTAGATCAATTAGTGATTCCAATTAACGCTTTCATCGAAAGTTCCATCATTTATGAATTTTATCTCATTATATCGCTTTATTTACTGTAGTTGAACTTTGATAATCAACGAATAGAACTTTACAAATTAAAGCACGTATTTTCCATCTGATAAAATGTATAACTCGTACAACAAATCACTGCGTATAACGATTGTTACGTGTTAGTTTCTGTTAGTATTGTAAGTACGAAAAAGGAAAAAAGACCTACCATTCGTAGACAGAAATATCAACAATTAAAAAATATTTTGAAATGAAAAACAAACAAACCAAATGTAATAGAAGCGAAATTAATTAACATATATAATGCTTGAAATACAGGCACTTAAATCCTTGAAGTTTAGCATCATCGAGATTACTGGGATCTTTTTTAAAAATTTTTAAATTTATTGCTAAAATTACAATATTCAACATAAAAATTTCTATAGCTTCGTTTCGATATCGATATAATATAATATACAAAATTTTAATATACAATCGATATAATATACAAAAGATAATATTAATATATAAAGATAATATACAAAAATTGGGCAGATTTGTATTGAGCCACGAATGTACACGTTGGAAAATTTTGAATATTAAACAGGATTTCAAACGATTAAAGAGAAACAAACGATTTCTAGCATTTTACAGACATTAATTTATTTATTAACTGATTATATTATTACATAAATTTTGAAAAAATCATAATGTTTATATTTTTTACTAAGTGTAAATAAATATAAATAAATATACGAATAAATAAAAAGAATCAAGAAGTTCTAACAAATTCTATGAACGCTACCAACAAATTCTCAATAAACATATATGTGTTTCATTTAATATATTTAATTATAAATAAATACATCTCAAGAATGATTGAAGGAGATACAAAATTTCGAAAAATTCGTAAATTTATTCGAAAAAAGGGAACAAATTATTACGAATAATAAATAATTATTATCCAGATAAAGTACATTCGAATAATTACTTTAGACGAATGTTTATTTGAAATCATTCGAACAATATACTCAATTGCTTGTATATGTATATGTACAAATTAAAAGAAATTCAACTCGTTGTATTCTATGTGTTTAAAATAATTTAAAACTTATGCACAACAATGTGTATTTCTATATTATTTTTAGAAGTAAATTGTGGAAGTCATTTACACAAAATACACAATAGGTTCTTTGTCGCCCTAGCGAGGATTTAATTACTTGCCATTTGCCATTCCGTGTTCTAATTTTAAATGTGTTCTTAGTAAATCGGTTCCATTTCCGCTGAATAATTAAAATGTACGCTGGAAATTATTTCAGAAGTGAAAGATTTCACAACTTTGTCAATGAAAATATTAAGAAATGGAAAATTTGTGTTACATGGAATAAAAGAGATATGTCTGTCATTGGATTTATTCTGAAAATCTTTGAAACACATTTGATCAGTACAAGAAATCATCTATATGCTCTGATTCAGCGTTATAAATTCTATATTTTCAAATAAATCTTAAATTATTATCGAGAAGTTTATTAACAAGTTAATGTAGTGGTATTGTGGCACAATAATTATTAATGCTAATGCCAATGACAATGCTAATGCTGAGGACAAATCAGATGCTTGTATCTCGATAAAAGTTTGAGCATAATAAGTTTGCAGCTTTTTTAAAAAGATCTGAACATCAGACTTGTTTCATATTTATATCTAAATCTCATAAAATTTAATATTGAACATTTTCCTTTGGGAAATAATAAAGTAACTGTTTATAGGTTGAATTGAACAGGTTTAGACATAATCAACAATTAGAAAATCAGAATAATCTAAATAATAATAATAATAATATTAATAATTATTATGATAATTATTTAAATTATTATTATTATTCTGTAATTAGAAGAATAAAAATTCTAATTACAGGACAACTATAAAAATTAAAGATTGTAGGTACCATAAACACGAGATTATACGAATAATTAGCAAAAATGATTGAATTTGATAACAAGTACTATGGTAACTAAATTACTGGAACTATGTCCTAATGTCCTTCTCATTCTTCAATTTTCTAACGAACTTTTCCTCTTTCTATTTCTCTAATGATTTCACGCGAACTTCAACCGATACTTTCTCATTTTCTTTCAGTTTTTTTGTTCTTTCCTCTTTCGTTAGAGCTTAGCCAGTTAACTGAGTAGAGTGAACAAACAAGAAAAATTAACTTTCGTGGAAGCTAATATAATTTATGTTAGCCTCTTGTTGGCCGAGTCTTGGCCGGAATCATTTCACTTTCACTTTCCGCTTTTCACACATTAGCTTCCTTCCTTTACATTGTCTGCTAGGCTCTTTTTTATTTTTTTTTTCTCACTTTTTATTTTCCCTGGTGTTTTCTTCGAATGATCAATTTTGTTCAATTGTTTCGTTTCAAATGGCTTAAAATAAATTAAATAGAAAGCCACGAATTTCGAAAGAGCACGAGTCTCCTAATCAATATTCCAAGGAAATCTTCTTTGTTTATGTTTGTTAATATCGCAGTTAATATTATAACGATATTACGTAATATAACAATGTAATTATATCGTTATATTAGAATTTATTAGAATTATAGAGTTATTATATAGTAATTAGAATTATACTGTTATATTATATAATTATATTGTTATAATAAAATTTGATAATATAATTATAACAATATAATTAATATTATAACAGTATTATAATTGTTTATATTTGTTAATATTATCTACTTTGATGATTTTTGCCGTAAGTATATATTATATAATATTTATAATATTTATATATAATATTTTTAATATTTTTAATATTTATAATATTACACATATATTTTTAATATTATTAGACGACTGTCTTTTGTGTAAAAAGCTTTAAAAATTTGTGCACTTGCGCTGCTTTGGAAATCATCGAAGAAGATATCATAGCTTTTAATTACTTCAGCAACAAAAATTATATTTTACAAAAGGAAATGTTTATTCGCTGTAAATTATTTCGCTTCCAAGACTGTCATTTTTCGTTTTCTTATTTCTCCAATAAATTTTCGAATTTATCGATGACATATCTATATTTTTTTATGTGCTGACACTTTCCAATTTTCGTGGAATTTTGTCGTTAAAACCTTGTTTTATGAATATCGAAATTAGCCCTTCTTTTAAATTAAAATGGCAAAAAACATAACTATTTAAATTTCGTAGAATTTTAAAATTCAGTATAGAAAGTATATTTTATAAAGTATAATTCTTGGAGTATTTTCTCATAACCACAGTATTAAAAAATAGAATTTGATAACACAAATTAATCCGAGAGAAATGTAAATGAAATGTTGCCTGACACAATGGTTATTAATTTTTAATGAGTTGATGTAATTACTAAAGAGAAAGCTTAGGCTATATCATATATCATCAAATTAATGTATTTTGGAATGTAATTAATAATACAATGGATGTTTCAGACACGCAAAATATGGAAGAAACATCTGGCATTTATGCATATAAAATATGGATGTTTAAATGGAACGTATGATGGATGTTTCAAAAATTCTTATACGATTACTTGAAAAATATATAAAATGTATATAAAATATATATAATATTATATAAAATATATATAATATTATCAATATGACTGACAGATTTCATTACGATTTTTTTCGCAGAGCTGATAAGAGTTTAAAATATTAATAATTTTTCATCGAGTGTAATTTCCTGAAGTGACTCTAATAAATTATAAATATTTGAAATTGTTACTACAATATTTATCTACATTTTCAAATATTTGCTAACAAAAGAATTGAAGAAAAATTTCTCATAAATTTGCTTCCTGTTTACTGCAGCATTCAAGTTATAAATAATGATATTATAATTTTTATCAAATTAATCTAACTCGAAAGGAATAGTTGCAATAATTGGTAGCAGAATTTTTAATTCCTTTCATTCGTTAATAAATATTATTTTATTTTACGTTATGAAAGTGATTTCCAATTTCCTTTGCAAGATTCTATCCTACAAACACACGTACATACATACATGTTGAGTGAGTCGTTCATGAAACCAACTCGTGAACCACCAATATGTTATCTGTCAAGCAATCCATCGATGTCTTGAAATTACAATGTCCATAGTCTCCAATAGGTTCCAATGTCTTGTTTTCAACAATTCAAACTTCATCACTTCGCAGTATTGCCACATTTGTCTCAACGACGTGATAATTAAAATTCTACATCACCTCGCAATTAGACGTAACATGTTGTCACTGTAACGATTTACGATTTAAAGTTGATGACCTTAAGTCATTATCATTTTAAATTGTTCAGAGTTATCTTATAATAATAAACGA